TAGTAACCCGCCCTATATGAACCAGCCGGCCCAGTACCCCATGCAGATGCAAATGGGCATGATGGGAGGGCAGGCTTACCCACAGCAGCCTATGCAGCCCAATCACCATGGCAACATGATGTACACGGGCCCCTCGCACCACAGCTACGCTGGCGTCCCCAAACAGTCGCCTTACATGAGCAGATGAGCACCAGAGAACGAGCAGAGAGAGACGTTCCCCACCGGACTCTGCATCTCTGTACTTTTTCCATTTGTATCCACCCTCCAAAGTCTGCGCAAAAAGGCAACAAGATAAGTGAGCTTGGTGGAAGAAGAGGACATAGAGACTGCGACGATTTCTTTTCCTTGCTAAATATGTTGTCGTCAAGCTCTGTTCCTTTTAGGTTCATTTCCCAGTTGCCTGAGCTGGAGATATGATGATGATGATGGTCTGATCACGGGAGATGATCTAATGGACCTTTATTGTGGCAAGTGTCATGCTCCCACAGACCCTGTCTGCCGTGGTTGTACCAACGGGTTGGACCACCGAAATGTCTGCCACTCCATCCGTGAGACAGAAAGGGCCAAGCATCAAAGCAGCTAAAGGGGAAGTGGACCTAACTTTTCAAACTGAGAAACAAATACATTTACGTTGTTATTGAACATACATTGAATCATGCACACAATCGTTCAATTGACATAGGAAGCCTTACCTAAATAGGGACAAAATAATTGTAGATGGACTATTTTTTTCTTTTTTTATTATATTATTATTATTTACTTTATTTTTAATATGTTCTCTTTTTTTTCAATGACTGTTGAAATGCTTGTGTTTCAGTCTGACCTTCTCATGCTCTGTGTGTGTGTGTGTGTGTGTGGCTGTTCTGGACAAAGTGATTCACGCTCGCTCGCTCATACACTCACTCATGAACACATTCACTCGCACAGAGCGCTATAGCCACTTGAGAGCTTACATGGAGGCACTTCTAGTTTGGATGCACAAGGAGTCCGAGGTAACTGTAAATCTGTGTCTTCCCAGTATGGAATCGTGTATATCCAAACGTAACCGTTGTAAGAGCCCAAATGGACGTCTGATAATAATGACCATGCATCCATAGACCAGACTAAACAGAAGTTAAACTAGTTAATGTAAATATTCTGGTACTACCTGGTTCACAGCACAGACTCAAAATCCAGTACACACACGTTCACGAACACTCCACAGCTGTCACTAGAGGGCAGCGCAGTCAATAGTGGGAAGGTCTTTAAGTTCATACTACAAAGTGCAGCGTCCACGTAATGTGGTGGGTAAAAAGGGTTTAACCACACAGGAGCACATCTGCAGAGCAGTTAGCATTGCAACTGTGCTCATCCAATGATGTTAATGATGCCTCCTAAAGTAGGCCTTACTGTGGCACCAGTAAGTAGCGCTGCTCGTACTCCAGCTGATCATGCGGTAGTGATGTTAGCTGTTAGCCACAAGAGGGACTTGTACAAATAAGTAGATCCGTGTCTGCAATGCACACATGGACGAATGAACACTCATACCCGGGATAAAGGTTAAAGTGCATGATGTCCTGAGATGGTTACTGTTTTAGGACAATGGGAAGAGAATTTCTTAATGTTCCAGTATTCATTGTCAATATGAGGAATCTTTCTCAAATACCTGACGTTTCATATATTATTTGTGCGCTTTTGTTTTTCTGAATTTTATCAGACTGGGCAGCTTTCTTTTATGACAAGCTGACTCTTTTTGACTTTAGAAGACGTATTGTAGAGAAAATGTTTTTTCTAAAATATAAAAAAAGAAATTCTGACATGGATATTGGTACTGTCATTTTTTTTCACTTCTGTTTCAGGAAAAAAACTGCATATTTTTTAGCTCGACTCTTGGGGTAATATTATTAAGAAATTCAAAACTAAAAAAATTTACAACTCACTTTTAGTGAATTTAAGATGCCTTTAACCTTTCCATTCCATCTCATCTCTAGAGTTTTCTATCTTTGTGTAGTATATTAATGCTATTTTAAAACAAAAGGAAAAAACAGATATCTAAAGGTCACTTGGCGTTATTTTCTTTTTTCTTGGTTATTGTGTGTGTATAAGACAACTTCCTTACATCTACGAGGCATGTAAAAATGAGCTCAGTATATTTCTGTCTGTTTATATTGCTTACCTTTTCGTATACTTTGTAATTGTACACGGTGAGTTGTAAGCTAAGAGAGAGCCTGGTAGCCCGGAGAAAGAGAGAGCCAAGCTGGGGCGCTCGGTGATGGTCGGAAGCGTCCACCTTCCACTCCTCTCTGTTTTGTCCTTGTATGTATTTCCATTTATTTGTTTCTTTCTTTTTTCTTAGCAAGTACTTTCAAAGAACTCTGTACATTTTAACATGAAACAAAAATAAATTATGTTGAGCCATTTCACTTGTTATTGCATTTCTTGAAAAATCTCTAAAGTAATGTGTATTTTTTTAAATGAATTCCCTCTTCTAAAAGTCATTCCACTCTTATCATATCAAAGCCAGTGTATGGACAGGACATCTCTTTTAAACTGAACATTAACTTCAGTTTAACTGGAAAGACTAATTCTAGACATTCGATAAACATTTAAATTGTTGTATATGCTACTAAACTAACTTTCCACCCCCATTTAATTAACCCTGTGAGCTTCCGTCGGATCATGTAATTTGTTCACATTTTGAAAACTAATCTTTACAATGCCCCTAATTTAGTCATGGGAGTCTTGTAAATGAGTAAAAACTGATCTCTTATTTAAGTGTGATAGCTGAAAAAAGGTTTTTGAACAATTTGGTCATTACACAAAATAGATGGTTTTTCCGTTTTAAAGTACATTTCTTGAAGATCCTGAACATTCTATCAGAAAATCTTTATAGTCGGGGCTCGACAGTAAGGACTGTCCGATGGCCTGGGCCAGCATGAAAGATGCCCGGGACAATTTACAGAATTGTCAGTGTGATATGTTTATTAGTACTTATTTTATGCACTCTTCACTTGATGTTAATAATGATTGAACTTTGTATAATTTAGGCTTGTAGTTTTTGCTGTGGTTTCGAAAGTGGAATCAAGAATTGTAAAATTTAACTACCATCTAGAATGTCGGTGTCACAAGCTTATTTATTAGAATACTACATAATGTAGGTCAAAAACAATTGTATTTTATTTATTTATTTATTTTGGCAGGGCCAGTGAAAATGTTGGTGGGGCAAGTAAAAAATTTGAACCAGTGTCCCGACTGGGCAGGTAGAAAAATTCAGTGTTTAGCCCTGAAAGTGTTAAACTGCATTGTATCCGTAGCTCAATTTAAAAACTGTACTAGGCTATGATATAGCATTTGCATTTAAAAACAAAGCAACTGGGTTGACTGTTTTACAGTTTACTAGCCTTGTACACACGATCGTGACACTATGATGTATTAGAAATACAAAATTTTGTTCTGCTTTTTCTACAGATATCCAGTTTAATAATACAGGTGCATCTCAATAAATTAGATTGTCGTGGAAAAGTTCATTTATTTCAGTAATTCAACTCAAATTGTGAAACTTGTGTATTAAATAAATTCAATGCACACAGACTGAAGTAGTTTAAGTCTTTGGTTCTTTTAATTGTGATGATTTTGGCTCACATTTAACAAAAACCCACCAATTCACTATCTCAACAAATTAGAATATGGTGACATGCCAATCATCTAATCAACTCAAAACACCTGCAAAGGTTTCCTGAGCCTTCAAAATGGTCTCTCAGTTTGGTTCACTAGGCTACACAATCATGGGGAAGACTGCTGATCTGACAGTTGTCCAGAAGACAATCATTGACACCCTTCACAGGGAGGGTAAGCCACAAACATTCATTGCCAAAGAAGCTGGCTGTTCACAGAGTGCTGTATCCAAGCATGTTAACAGAAAGTTGAGTGGAAGGAAAAAGTGCTTTTGCTTTCGCACTGAAACACACAGCGTCTCCCTGACATGGCTGCATCAACACTACTGCTGTTCCTGAAACCACGCCTTCTTTCTTTGCATGCACAATTGGGCGGCATTATGCTAATATTTCCACATAGTGACGTAGATATGTGGGGGCGTGTTAGAACCAGCCATTTTAGGTAGGCGTGGCTGAAACTTTTATAAAGAATATCTCTTTGGATTTGAGACTTTAGTCTTTGCAACTTTACAGATCTTCTTTATGCACCAAGAGCTTGTAACACTCCAAAGAGAAAGGAAAACTTGAAATCGCATCATATGACCCCTTTAATAGTATAATGCTGTGAACGCTTAAATTCACTTGTAGCATTTAAAACTTTTTCTTTTTTCTTTTGACATAATAGATTTTCTTTATCAATCATATATTATCTGCCATGACATGGAAACTTAGTACTTATTATTATCAGACAGATTTTTAATTGGAGAATCCTTAAAAGGTACGTTATTTTAACAAGTGGCAGTTATAATGATAATAGAGTTAGTGTATAACCTAGGGACACAACTTCAAGTCTTTTGAATAAAATGTCTAAAACTGGAATTCGATTTATTATAGTATATAAAAATGATCTATATAGACAGAGAACAAATACAAAAGGCTTAATATGTAATTAATATATATATATATATATATATATGGAAACAAAATATAACATGGATAGGGACAGGACAAAAAGGCATCTTTGTGGAGACCAAAATCTTTAATGTTTTTGTTGATGTGCAAAGAAAATGCCTGTAATAACAGTATAAGTTCGTGTCAGCTTGTCTTTGTTTAACGCACAAGGGACACATACGGCAGTTTTTCATGTGTTGATCTAAATGTAATCCAGCACGAGACATAACAGCAACGAACTGAGTTTATTATGGCATTTTTAACCTCAATGCCCACTGTCAGAGGACAAGCTACCTTGAACCAATAAAACAACGCTGTGCAGTGACGTTTATTGGCCACTGTCCAATGACCTTCGAGTATTATAGTCCACTCGCTTCCGCACTAATATGGAGTGGGCGGGTACACGCGATAGACGTAGTCCGCCATTGGTTAGAGCGAATGACAATCATTTATTTCGTCGTCTCAAAATAACGGAGAAGGAAGCGACATTTCTGGTTCTGTCTAGTATAAAAATCCTGGGAAGTGGCAGAAAAAACCCCCAGAGATCGTGAGTATTGATTTATATGTACAATATGAGCAGTTACGCCCAAAGAAAAAGAAACGACAGATGATAATGCGGAATGAATGAACCTTTTTTGAATCCGTAGCTTGTCACAAGACAGTCCTGTGATGCGAGGGTGGGGAGGAGAAAATATTAACATGATGATGATGTGACCCTGCTAACAACCAAACCAACCCGTTCCTGTCCCTTCATCCGAGCTGGCTGCTCTTAAAAACAAAACTATTCTTCTGTCCGGTAACCAGATAGGGATGTAGAATAACAAATGAGCTCAGAGGCCTATCGGTTACCCGTGAAGATGCTGGCAGGTTGTTGTTCTGTTATTGCCTGAACGATTCATTTTGTGTTTCACATTTTGTTACTTTGTGTTTCCAGCTGCCAAGATGATACACAGCCTTTTCCTGATTAACGCATCGGGGGACATCTTTCTGGAGAAGCACTGGAAGAGTGTGGTCAGCCGATCCGTCTGCGATTACTTTTTCGAGGCCCTGGAACGCGCCACGGAACCGGAGAACGTTCCTCCGGTGATCCCGACCCCGCATCACTACCTCATTAACGTGCTCCGCCATCGCATCTACTTCGTGGCCGTCATACAGAGCGAAGTGCCTCCTCTGTTTGTCATCGAGTTCCTCCATCGTGTGGTGGACACATTTCAGGTTTGAGGGGTTTATTTTATTCTCCTACTTTACCATTGTGTAGTGATGGTGGTGTCAAATAGTAATTTTCATTTAATTTTGATGGATGTGGCTGTACCATGTCAATACTGTTATTACTATGATAATTACCATGATAAATGTCTAAAATATCATGGTATTGCCGTGGTACCATGTCCAAAACATGTACTGTCATAGTGCGGTACGTGACTCATAAAAGCTGGATTTTGTTATTATTATTATTATTAAAATTAAGTAAAGGAGTAATATCATAAAATATTACTATATTTAAAAATAACTGTTTTCTATTTATGTAATTATGCCTATAATGTCAAAGCTACATTTTCAGCAGCTATTTCTCCCGTTTTTATTGTCACGTGATCCTTCACAAATAATTGTATAATGCTGTTTTGATGCAAAATAAATATTTCTTAATTTTATCAGTTAAAACAGTTGTGCTTCTTAATATTTGTTTAAAAACTGAAACGTTTTTCAGGATTCTTTGATGAATAGAAAGTTGAAAATATTAGCTTTTATTTGGAAGATTTTTTTTTGTAACAGTATAAATGTCTTTGCTGTCACTTTTAATGCATCATTGCTAAATAAAATGTTTCCTTCAAAAAAAAAAAAAAAAATCTTATTGACCATAAACTTTTGAACAGCAATGTATATGTTCAAAATATTATCTGATAACACTGTATTGTACTTTATAGAAGTATTACATAAATAAAAGAATAGAAAAATTACATAAATAAAACAAAAAAAGCAATGTACTGTCATAGTATGTTTTGTAAGGACTTTGGTAATTCAGTTTTAGCCACCACTGCCTTAATTAAAGAAAATGATGGAAAGTTTAGCTACTTTAATATTATATTTTATAAAAACCATAGTATGTGCATGGTTCTCAAAGGTACTTCCATTGTTATGAACTACTGATCTGTTTTATCAAATATTTGACTGAATTTACTATAAATTACCTCAAAGTGCTACCATTTCAAAGCATTATTTTTGAAAACGTTCAATTATCGCGTTATATTTTTCTTTCCAGGACTATTTTGGGGTTTGCACAGAAGCAGCTATTAAAGACAATGTTGTTGTGGTCTATGAGCTGCTGGAGGAGATGCTGGATAATGGCTTCCCACTGGCCACCGAATCAAACATCCTAAAAGAGCTCATTAAACCTCCTACCATCCTGCGCACAGTGGTGAACACCATCACAGGTATTCTGTGGTATTTTGTTGTGTATTAAATATCTGTCAGCTTTTGAATCCATGGTAATAATTAATTCTATTTGTTATCTGTGCTCAGGAAGTACTAATGTTGGCGAGCAGCTTCCTACAGGTCAGCTGTCAGTGGTACCGTGGCGGCGCACAGGTGTCAAATATACCAACAACGAAGCTTATTTTGACGTGGTTGAAGAAATCGATGCTATCATTGACAAATCAGGTAGATCTTCTTTTTATATCTGTTAATAACTTACAGATATAACCATGAAATGCAGATGTCTTTGCTGTCAAACCTTTGAATCAGTACATCATTTATAAATGCATATATTTTCCCCGCAAAGGATCAACTATCACAGCAGAGATTCAGGGAGTGATAGATGCCTGTGTGAAACTTACAGGAATGCCTGATCTCACCTTGTCATTTATGGTAAATCTGGACATTTTTCTAAATAAAAGGTTGTTTTGTTGATTTTTATTTTGTCCTGAACAACTTGGCCTGGATGCATAAGCTTCACATGCAGTGAAAGTTTTAGGATGTGTTTGAATTGTAAAAAATACCCTATTCACAGCAGTGTTGTTATTTGTAACTAAAGCTACAATTTATTTTTGTTAATTGAAATAAAGCTGAAATAAAATAAAATATAAACATTACACGGAAAAACATAAACCTATTTTATTTAAGTTAGTTGCCAAGATAGCATTTTTAATTTTCATTCAAGTTTTTTTTAAGTACTAAAATTACAAAAACTAATATATATACAGTATGTGAAGGGGGTCTGAATACTTTCCGTACCCACTGTATATATATTTATTAATATATATAGAAATAGAAATATAAAAAATAATACAAATGAAAAAAGCAGCACATAATAATACTAAAACTTAAACTAAAATTAAAATATAAACTGAAAACAAATAAAAGCAAATTTACAATACTTATGAATAGTATATAACTAATACTAAAAGAACACAGATTTGCAGGCCCACAGCTGAAAAAGTGTTCAGTTGACCATGTGCTTATGTGCATATGCTTCAATACTTTGATACCTTTAAAGGTGCACTGTGTAATGTTTTGCTTGAGTTTCTCTGGCCAGTAAGATGTCTTGGGCTGACACCTTTACCTTTCAAAATGGCTATTAAATTTTTTATATGTCGAACATTTTTACATTTAGCAGAATTTGCATTTATGCTTTCGAATGTGCAATTACCAACAAATTACCAACAAATTAAGGACAAATTACCAACTGCACTTTGAAGTTCAAGTTTGTAATATATCCTATATTACTACATACTAACCCACATTTTCTTTTCTTTCTTTACATTTTACGCCTACATCTTTCATTCTGTAGAACCCTCGACTCCTGGATGATGTCAGCTTCCACCCCTGTGTTCGGTTCAAGCGTTGGGAAGCCGAGCGAATTCTGTCCTTCATCCCACCAGATGGCAACTTCCGCCTCCTGTCCTACCACGTCAGCTCTCAGAAGTGAGAACCTCCCAAAGTCAGGATTAGTAACTCATAGTGGAGAAACAACAAAAATAGTCCCTTTTAGATATTCAACAGTAGTGGAAAAATCTCAAGAATCCCTTACTAATATTATAAAATGTATTCTGTTTTTGCAACCTTTGTAATTATAGGTCTGGGGTCTTTAAGAATAAAAAAAAAAAAGAATGTGTTTGAAAGTTTCTTATGCTCATCGAGTCTGCATTTATTTGATAAAAATACAGTAAAAACAGTTATTTTGGGTAATATTATTGCAATCTAAAATAACTATTCTATTTCAGTTTATCTTAAAATGTAATGTATTTCTGTGATGAGCTGAATTTTCAGCATCATTACTTCAGTCTGCAGTGTCACATGATCCTTCAGAAGTCATTGTAAAATGCTGATTTAATGCTGAAGTAACACTTCTCATTATTATCAATGTTGAAAACAGTTGTGCTGCTTCACCTTTTTTTTTTTTTTTT